ATATGATGGAATGGGCACATGGATGGGAGACATTGAGTGGAGTCATTGAGCCATTCAGTTGATTCGACTTCAGTTTTTGAGGAATTAATTGCCAGGGTTCCAGTCAAACATATTGCTCAGAGTTCACACTCAGTATATCAACGAGTATAGAAGCAACAATGCATACTTATGAAATCGTCGAACGATGTTAAACGTTGTGTATGCTTGACAAATCGGTGAATGAATGCTTGACAAACCGGTGAATGAACCTTCTTCATTCACCGGTGATTCAGTGCATACACCGAATTACTTCAACGGAAGTTGGTGGTTTCAGTCAATCACTGTACATGTGCAGTGACTGGAATGTAAAACTCGTAGTACGATGTGTCCGGCGTTAGATGCTATTGGCTGGGACAGACTGGGTTGGAGGAATTCCACAGGAGTGGTGCAGTCATCCAATGCGCTATTTTAAACTTAACACGAAGTAGAAATTGCGCCATCAGCGCCATTCGGATCATTATAAGTTAGTGCACAACTTATGGCTATTGCGCATGCTGCAATGTTATCTAAACGGTATGTCGTCCTTTTGGTTTTGTAATGCAATGTTTCTTAGTGAGTGTTACCTGAAATGCGGTTGAAAATGTTTGTTAGCTGAGTGAAGCGTATGCTCAATGTTATTTAAGGATTAGGGTTATTCTTGAAAGGGTTTCATAACGTTTCGATTTGATATATAATCCGAGGATCATGATTTTGGCTCTTTTGTTCGGATATTAGTACTGACGAGAGATCTGAGTTATGTAAATTAAGGACTTTTATTTTATAGAACACAGAAAATTGCCTTTTCCGGTTTTGAGTGCACAAACTCCTCTCTTTAACATGGATACTCACTAGAATACCATACGAAAAGGCTTCTCTAGCCCGCATATGAATTTCAGGTTGCTACCATTTTATTTTGTCATAGCTGGGCAAATGCAGAAGACTACCTACCGTCTAATTTTTGAAGTACACTACCAACCCGATGTCTCCGTTTTTTCTAATAAACGATGAGTCAGAAATTGTTTGCTTATGTTCTGTTCCTCAAAGCTGAGTAGCGAAATTGATCGGCCCATTTACATCACTGACCTTATTCACTTCCATGTAGCCCGGTCCAGTGAGGACGTAGAAGTGGATGATCCGTGAAGTAACCACGTGTACTACCACATCGCGTGGTCACGTATTGACTGGCTCCTTGAGTGATGACTTCTCAGATGGAAGCTTCCTGGTTTCGTTAACGATCCTTCCTCTGAGCTCCTTATGGATTGGTGGTGGTGTGAGGAGGTTTGGTAGTCTTCAACTGAGATTCCGTCTAAGTGCGAGCTACTCAGAGCGATCTCGGTCAAATGGTTGAGTATTCAAATTACTATCCGGGAGATCAGAGTTTCGAAGCTCCCAGCCAATGCGCACTGCTCATTGTTCCCAATAAGGATGAAACAGCTGTACAGTACTTTCAGGTTTTTCAGCATAGATCGTACCAACATTACCTAGGTTTTTGCAACCGCCTTTATGTTACTCTCTTGGAAGTTTCGTTGTTCCTCTCAAACAGGCGCGTAAAACACTTCTGTTTTGACAACCCGTCGTGTGTTGTATGCAATGCCCCAAAATGCCACGGCCTAGAGTGTTGAACATATTCTCTGACTGCCTTAGTTGTTACAAAGTTACATATGTGCTTCAAACCTTAGAAATCCGCCCTCATCTGATGCATTGTGGTCGTTGCTAGTACATCTATTGTGCCTTAAATTTTTCTCCTTGGACCGGAAATAGCGTACTCAGCGATTATGTATCCAGGACCGCGACTTCATGCTAGCAAGCTGTTGACATATTTATTTGAACAGGTTGGCGACTAGCATTGTATGAACGAAAAGACGAGCTACTGACATCTGTACGAATATCCGGTTATTTTGACCCATCGAATTGGACGGTAAGTCGACGATTGCACCGATTTCAGGAGTCGAATCACTGCTAAAAACACCATGGACTGGGGGGTTGGGAATTGATATTAAACTTACATATCGTGTGATAGGGCCTTCACGCCCGATAAAGCTGCTTACCACAGTTTGCATACACCTTATCAGTGCAAGCTCTGGCTACGGTACGGACGTACGTGCAGTTAGACGACACGACGAGGAAGAGCGTAGATCGAAGAAACACCTGATAAATCCGCTTTCCACACCTCAAGGTCGGCGATTCGTGTTCCATGTCAACTGGCCTACAAGGCCATAGATTAGTCGATAAAACGTGATGACAAACTTGGGTTCACATTCTTGCTCGAACTCAACGTCATTTGTACAAGTGGTTGGTTGGTGGTGTTGGTTTTTGGCAAACAGTTCACAAGTTTGATATCGATCTCTAGATTTATATGTCGGTTCCATTTACGTCAATTGAGCAGCGCGGAATAGGTAACACTGCATTTGGATGCTGCTTAGGTGCGTTTAGAACCATTCACCTATTACCTAGCCCGGAATACTACTGACGATATTCGACCGGAAGACAAATAGAACGATAGCGTTTTAAAGGCATCATTAGACACAATTTAAGACCCATGATTATCTGAAGACGACTAGACGCTTTAACCTCGCAGGTGTGAGAGATGGGTCAGCACTATTCATAAGTCACATTCACAGTCAGTGTTCAGTTTGTCCGTACACTCGTTGTCGCAGTGAATCGAACTCATTGTAGCTTTGTTGACTCCACAGTCCGAAAATTTCTGCGCACTAGGGCGAGACATTTGTGTGCTCGAATGGTCTTCCTCAGAAAGCTATAACCCACACCACTCGATTACGTTGAATACTATCCGAAGCAGTGTAACCTTGGCATGTTCTTGTTCGAGTTTTTCCCACCAACTATTTTTGGACATTATCTGAGTTATTTTTGTTACTCAAACAACTGTTCGTAGGAATGACCGTCTTTGCATTGCCTTTTGGCAGCCAGTTTGTCCGTTAAGGTGCAATTTGGCACAATGTCGCGGAGTTTCGCGTACCTTCTTATTGACAGGGCTGACTGAGCGATATATTATGTCCACTGTGTGGGCACACAGTGCATGGAGTTTCGACAAGCAACGCTGCGTTGTTGTAACCCTGACTTCAGTCAGCTTCTCTGCCTACCACATCTAAGGTAGCTTATAGCTGATTGGCTACTTTTCAGGCTAAAGGGACAGGCTTTGAGACTTGGGATGAATGTACGGAAACAAGGTGACCTAATTCTGGACGTTATTTATCAAGAACTCGTTTTTATATACCTCCGAACTTTTTAGACCTTTGACGAACTGCTTGCCTCTTCGTTCACAAATAAAAACTTCATTTGCCCTTTATGTAACTGGCAAATTATGTTGTCTCTGACGTCCGTCGGAATAATTTACACGAGATGACTTTGAAAGTAGTTGAATTTACGTGACACTTGCCAGAGGTTAAATTTAGTTACATCGTTCAATTGTCAGTTGAATTTACGTGACACTTGCCAAAGGTTAAATTTAGTTACATCGTTCAATTGTTCACGTTATATCTAGGAGGACTAGGGTGCAACTGATTACCCATACTTTAGTATACAGATCGTAGGTCATAGATTGCTTTTATCTTGTGATGGAAGGTGCTTCTGTCTTCCTGGTAGGGCATGTTTTGGGTTGAAAGCAGCCGTAGGGGAAGCGACCGGTCACTGGAGCCCAATAGCTCGACTGCGTTACCTCAAAGTTCACGTCGAAATTTTTCTTGGTGGCGCAGCATTTACTGCTCAGTCGACGATATCCGATAAGCCAAAACGGATACAATGTTGCACTAGTACCGAAGTGCGTTGCATCATTATTGTCACCATCATAAGCCATGAACCCTAGATGTGTTGTGAAGTGATTTAGGTGCCACAGTTTTGTTCGCTCATGATCTTGGAAAATACTGGTGTGTGGCTAGGTGTTGCAATCAGTAACTGGTGTCGTTTACGCGTGGATACAGGAGGGACAGTGGATTTTTTATTGGATAGAATGGGAAAGGAAACTATGCGCCAAAGGTAGTGGCTTGAATCCATGCGCGCCATTGAGTGTCCAATCGGGTCATTGTGTTTGTCAGTGTCTAACCATTTATGTGTCCCTTCTGGGAGTATTCCAAGGAGTAAGTGACGACCAGCATAGCTGAGTTAGCTGGTGGTGGCTTCCATACCTCGCTGCCACTTTAGTGTTTGACCTCTACTGAAAGGGAATATTAGTAATTCAGGTCGTATAGATCTTCGTTGTTTTTCTTCGCTGAGCTGGGCAATTTGCTCGCAGATATTCCATCACCAGTCACTGACGAACCATACCGTTTCACTGCCCGACGGACCGGTGATGTAACTTCGGCTGATGAGAAGGCGTTCGCAATCGAATTACTCACCTTAGGTAAAAACCAATGGCCATGCGCAGTCGCCTTGTCTAACGACTCTCCCGATGACAACTTCCGTGATTTTATGTCTGTGCGTGATGGACATCCCAAAACTTAGTCCTACTGAACTACGACTACCAATTGACTGAGACTTTTTTCAGTTAGGTCGAGATTTTCACAGCTGGTTCTGCATCTTTATCCATTTACTTTTGTGTAGGCTTAGCTCCGGTGATCTAGGCCCTTAATCGCCCAAATGAGACCGGCTGTTGACGATAGGTCTTACACTTCGCCTTGTTTTCATCAAGATACAGGCCCCCTTCTACACGACTGAGCTCCCGTGTTGTCTGCATCTTATACTATTCCGGGTGCCTTCCATCATTCCCACTGTAAGCTTTTTCCGGGTGATATGGTTTGTTGTTGCACGGGTGTTCAGAACCGTATGGAACAGCTGTTGAGCACTAATGTTCTCACATTGTTGTTTCTGTCAGTGACAGTCGTAAAAGTGGATATGCCGTTTGAATAACCTTGCATAGGGAATATGTAGTCATGAATGGGTTCGCCTGTCCAATGTGGTTTATCTCCATGTTTATGCAGGCTGACAAACAACCGGTCACCGTTTGCTTTTACGCTCTCCCGATTTAGCTGATGCAGGTGGTCTCTTGATGCAACGGGTTCCACAATATAGAACAATGCGCCTGGAGGAGGTTATTTGTCAGTTGATTTGGCAACACACCCAAACGGAAGCATAGCTGATGCGGTGGTCTCTTGATGCAACGGGTTCCACAATATAGAACAATGCGCCTGGAGGAGGTTATTTGTCAGTTGATTTGGCAACACACCCAAACGGAAGCAAGCTGCAGCATGGATCAGCTGATGTCTGCTTTGACCAAGGTCTACCGGGATCTGCAAATGCGTAGGCCCTCGTATGAGGCAGTCAAAGTTGCACTGTCTGCCCTTCTGTCTGCTGGCGCGGTCTACTTCAGTGGTAAGTTATGTACTAAAGGTACCACCATTTCCATACTGTTGCCCAGCTGTGTTCCACTTGATTACCAACACTTTCTGTTGTAAACTGCACTAGATGGCTAGACCTCTCTTGCACAACATTCATTTATTTATTCATTCATTCGTATTTGTTTATTTATTTCATTCGTTTCTATGGTTTGAGTTGTTTTTCAAACTAAAGTACGATTTCTATAAAAATTGTATCCAGTTATTTCTGTAAGATTGTTGGTCGAACCAACTGTTGGCGCACTCAGAAAGTTGTCTGACTACTACATTCAGCCCATCCACCACTAATTAGACGGTTTTCTGAATAAGTCAACACCTGTATAGACGGGATACCCTACTCATAAGGTTGCTGAAAATTCTTTGATAGGCTAAGACCGCCTTCGCCGTTCTTTGGACTCATCAGGTAGGCGCAGTCCCCGAGTTTCCGTCAACCTTATTTTCTACTTGAAACCAAATTGCACGAAATTAGTGAAATACACTCATTTGAAAACAGATTTAGTTTTGCGAAAGACTCACCTGGATCCCGGCTGAGTCTCTCGTTTATGATGTTTTAAGAATTTTCAGCAACCGTATGTATTACGTCTATACATGTATCGCCTTATCTCGAATACCGTACCAACTGAGACAGGAGGTGGCCTAATGCAACACATTCAGTTGCTTAAAAACACCACAAGCTGGAGATTCAGCTGGGTTTCAGGTGAGTCCCCCACAAACGAGTGTATTTCTTTAAAGTCAGAAGCTGGTTCGAGCCAGGATCGTTTTGCGGAGGGTAGCAGTCTGTACTGAAGGAAAACAGGATCGGGCCCTTCTACGTTCGTCGGATGTATCCTGACAACGAAAAAGTAGAACCTTTGGGATCCGGTTACAGTTTTACTACACATTCTATTACCTTGTCTCGTTCCCGTTTGTTTCGTATTGGTGACGAAATCGTTACGAATGATGCGAAGGGTGGTTTGAAGTGGACTGTCCGCTTGCTGAGTGGGGATTACAGTTTTATCTTTTCTTAAGTAGCGCTTTTCGAACGTCGCCAACTTGACCTCATATTTCGTAAGCTGCTGGCATTGCTACCGAATTTTCTGCACCTGACGCTTATTTGTTCGCAAATTTAATCGATTCCAGGCTTTCGATTAATATTCATGCTACTGACGCGCGACGACTTCTGGGCAGCAACATCTACCCCGAGTAGAATGTCAAAAGTGGTTCCTTTTCGCGACATGAGCTTGGTGTCTTCTAGGTACAAAGTGTTACCTCACAAATTTTAACTCACTAATCCCTTGTGTCTGTTTTGTGCTTCGAGATAAAAGGCTTCGAGTTTTTAAGCGGTTTACGTACCTTGACGTCTGCATAGACTGCGGTTATTAGATGAATGAATGAATGCATGCTCGGTAGGTGAAAAACGGCCGCCAACTTGCTTATTTTTTAGCACCAAGTTTTACCGAAGCTGAAGGGCCGTACACACAAAACAACCATAAGAACATTTTTTTATTGTGCTGCTTGACACTGGAGCGCTCCCGTTTGAGCATTCCGAACGTCTCCAAACATTTGATCGTCATGCAATTCGACGTGTGACGTTAATTAGCTGCCCGCAGCATGAACGCAACGAGATGGTGCTTCAAGAATCACTTAAGAATGAAATAGAATAGCTAAAGTAGCGAATAAAATCTATCAGGTTGATGTTGTTGGGGTATCTAGCCAGTCACAGTCTCCCAACCTACCGTGGCAGAAACTCCGGAGAGGAGGGCGTGCGAAATATAAATGGCTGCAGCGAAACTATGTGCTGTGAGATTTTCGCGCTTTCCTGGTCGCAATCTCTGTGATTCCCTTTGAACCCTACAAGGCATTGCACGTAGTCGATCCCACTGGCAACGATGCTGTCAGTTTCTAGGTGTACTGCTTGCCTAATTCCGTCCGTCTCCGTATGCTGAGCTTGTTTTGTGTAAGGTTCGCAAAGTATGGGGAGTTGGTTTATTTTGATTTGATACCAGACTAAAGTAGTTTCTGATACAATTAAACTTTCTCATCCATATATGTGAAATGCGGTCACAAACTGCAGAATGATCCCGATTCTGGTCAGCATTCATTTATTGTAGGAATTAGTATACCTCGATCCACGATGGTGTTCTCCACAGCCTGAATTGCCTTCAGGCAGCCGATTGCTTGACCACCTTATTCCCAACTACCCATAATAGGCGCGTATAAGGATAAAATGTTTTCCGATGTGCTCAAAAGTTTGACAACTTTTAAGCTATCGTTTGGGCATTCGCTCCTGCGCACCTGACAGTTGTCCCGTCTTTCTACATTTCGTGTTATTGACGTCATGTGAAAGATCCGTATCATTAGTTTGAGAGCTGGATAAGTTTATCGCAGTTTCGTAAACTTCCACTTCCATCAGTTAACTCCGGCTCCACTATGTGCCTTACTTCATAGCTTTTCGCAAATGTGAAACTGATCTATTGCTTTTTGCTCCCACCATACCGATTCAGCCATTCTTATTTGTGATGATACTGCGGTTCAGGAGTTTTTTTTGGAACAATCCGTTTTTGAGCAGTCACATCTGTCGGTTGATTTTGACAATTGATGGTTGTTAGGTGTGGCTGTTGTGGTTGTGAACCTTTCTTATCGCTAGTTTCGTAGGTTTCGTGGGCGGAACTTGTATTCAAAAGTGTCTCGATCGGCGTTTGTAAACGATTTGTTTCTGCAGTTTTTTCCTCCACCACGGACCTGTGGTCTTCCTCGAAAGGCGGAATTTCACGGATCATGAAACCTGACGAAAAAAACCGTAGACAACAAGCTTAGTGCAGAATGTAGGTTGCGGAATTTTCAAAGAGAATCCACTTAAAATGCAGTCTAGATACCCAATTTTCAGAGAATTTATACGGATTTTCATTCTAGCACGTAAGCCTCAAGTCAAGCTTAAAATGTACACTGGTTAATAATTGCCGTCTACCATGCTGGACTGAGCTACTCAGATACTTTGCTTCGAGAAGGCCCTTGATTCGAACCAACCCCGTATCTCCCAATGGTTCCTGTCTGGGCCTGATAGTATTTCAGTTATTTTGCCTCTCCGAAGGTGCACGTCATCCGTGCACCAAACGGGTATTATTCTTTTATTAATATTAATATTGTCATTGTTATTACTTATTAATAATAAATAATAATAATAAATAATAATAATATTACTTTACTAATAATATTACTCCTACTATCACTGTGATTGTTATTATCATTCTTTGACCATTTTTTATAGACCCAGCTGCTTTTGCCGACTTTTCATTCCAGAGGGGCGCTTTTTCAGTGCGCAATAGCGACTGTTTACAGCCCACTATATACTTAGAAATGCAGCGAGCTTGGGGTAGCTCAGTGGCTAAGGCGCGAACTTAATAACTGGGGGGTTTGTGGTTCGAACCTGGCCCCGGCATCTCGACTGCTCCTGTTTAGGCAACCTGGCAATATCTCAGCCATCGTGTTTTCCTCCAGTGGAATGTCAGTTAGATACCGAAAGGGTGCTACAGCTGTGCGATTTAGAGATGCAGTGTGCCGTTTCCGTGCCTTGCGATAGCTGCTGCTCATCTTTCAGCCCTGACTGCCTGCTATTTATTACAATCCAGCAACCGAATCAAAAACGGTTTGGCATGCTTAAACGAGTATTCAACAAGCGCAGGACGCTCAGCTGAAATAGACTTTTTCGTATGGTTAACACTAGCAGTTGTTCTCATCACGCCGCTTATCAGCAAGTCGCTCGTGTAATCGATTTAGCATATCGTTTGAGAAAACAGACAGGGTGAAAACTTCGTGAACTGAAAAATTTCACACAGTAATTACCGGTGATTGACTGGATCATCGGTATTCTCCCTAGTATCTACTGCTTTGCGTCGGTTAAGTTGCACTCAGGACTGACCGACCCAGCTGATATCACCCCATCACCGTTGGTCTCCTCAGGCCAAGTGAGGATAATGGCTCAGCACATGCATATTGTAACTGCTGTCAGCAAGGTGTTCAACACCGGGCATACATCACCTAGAGTGGGCTTTCAGTGCTTTTTGTGCGCGTAATTACTGTATTCATCGATTCCCTTTTTTCTGATGTGCATGCTGATGTTGGATTGTTTCTCATGTTATCTATGAGGAATGATCGAATCAATGGGGAGCGAGGGTTTAGAAATGCATAATGGTGCAGCAGACTTGGATAATTGTTGACCGTTCCAAATTAAGAAGGAAATCATAGATTGAAGGATTTTTCCAATTTCGTAATGTTTCCGACCTAATTAGTTAGGACAAGTCGTGTTAGACAATCCGAGCATGTTCGTGTACTGATGGAGAACTAGACGTGATAAGCAACAACACACTTATTCACACTCTTCTGAGGAAAGCCGGGCTCCCAATTTAAGAGCATGTATCATATGTTCTGTAATGTGAACCAGTATTTCTCAAAGTTGGCTGTAGGGGGCTTCAAGTGAACGCTAAAACAGTTGGAAATCGGTTACCGGCGAGTGACGCTATAGATCTACTTGGTGTCGTTCATATCTCTGATCGTCCAGCATAGTGTCTAAATTCTGATCCAAGTTTTTGAAGATACAACATCCCAGTGGCTATCATTGCGCACCCGTGCACGACACCTTACATATTCATCTCCGTATAATAGATCTGTTGGTTGTGGCTTCTGGTATGTGCAAACAGGCCGGAATGGTCTAAGCCTATCCTATGTTAACTCACTTTCGCTGTGTTAAAATAGTCTTCTGTATGAATTTAGCTGGCGCCGCAAGCTGTATCGGTCTACCAAATAGACCAGCAGTTTTTACAGTTGCAGTGCGAAAACCAGCATCAATGACGGTTAGTTACTTTGTGATACTTGGCATCATGTGGTCATCAATGAACTAAAATCCATAAACAAAGTTCATAGTTAACCATGTATATGCCACCCATAATTACGGAATAAAATAATCTACCTATAGGGTTTTTAACCAGTGCTTAGTAGTGAAGCATTTCAACATGCCCTATTTCGGATATCAAAACACAATGGACGTTTTCCTAATGACTGTCAGCCTGATATAGGCTGCTATCCATTTTCCGAATTCATATTGCAATAGGAAGTATACATTTTGCACAGTAGTGTAACGAGGTCGAGATAGCTTAGTGGTTAGGGCGTAAACTTGCTGGCCGGATGGTCTGTGTTTCGAACCCAACCGTTGCATCTCCACTGCTTCTATCCAGGCAGCCTGTCAGTATCTCAGCCCTCGTATTTATTTCGGATGGCCTGGCAGCTATGCACCTAAAGGGTGTTACAAATGAACTATTTTCAAACATAGATATTACAGTAATGTCCTAAAAGGCCGTAGCAAAGATAGTGGTGTCTTTTCTGAGGAATCGAATGCTGTTGTGCACTCTTCAGGAAAATCGCTGTCGGGGCGCACGATCCCTGCTGGTTATGTACCCAGAGAAGATGTCCTCGGGCGTATGGCGCCAAGGGAATAGTGAGCTGAAAAGAATGGGAAGTGCGAATTCTGATGAAACGACGTAGATGGTGATGTTTTTCAAAGTGGAACTTCAAACTTGATATAACGTACGTTCTTATAAGTATATAGACCGTCTACCTATTTTGCACCCAAATACCCGATGGGCTTCCTCTTAAGAATTCTTGGATGTAGACTGAGATATGGTTTTTGTTAGTGCCTTTTAATGAGAAACAGGCGGTTTGCCTGATTTGTCGATTCATATTTTCTGTTAACTGTTTCCAGTTAACTGAGTCCTCGGATCCAAGGTTCAGTGTGTTCAATATTTTGGTTCTTAAGAGTAAGCTGGCTACCTGGAGTCCAATACAACAAGCATCAGCAAGCTTCATAGGCCGTTACGAGGCCAGGGTGGTGATGAATCGGGTCAGACTCTCCAAGAACGAAACATTTTGGAATTTTGCAGTATTTGATATTTTCCGGATCTCGGTGGTGAAATTCGGAGATAGCCGTGATTTCTTTCATTCTTTCAATAGGCTGTTTTTAGTTGATTTGGGACCAATAGGTTTGTTCACCGAGAAATCGGTGACACACATTGGTTGTTTTTCTGCTCATCGGGTATTATTTCGATGTGTGGGCTGTTCGACTCAGTACAGAGAAACACCAACCAACAAACTGAATTTCAATCTGAAAACGACAGGTGTCGCGCCACTCTTCCTCTGCAGTCTTTTTTGCATGATCCATAGCTACTGGAGAAAAGCTGCAATAAAATTCGAATCAACCACTCTGTCAAAGCGGGTGGAACTGGTGTACTCTGGTCCAAGGTTTAAACTCTTACTTTGTTTCAAATTAAATTTTTATTCTTTATACGAAGTTACAGTGTTGGAAAGCCAGAGGTATTTCGTGTAAGTTGGTAGTCGTTGCAAGTTTGTTTGAATATTCGAACCCCTCGCGTTCCAATCAGTAATTTGACACTATATAAATGCGCCACAACTATTTGAGTAAGTTGTGATAGTTAGCCCAAAAACAAACGATAAAGAACGGTCAATAACTTAGACCTGTGTATTCTCGGATCATGACCTCTTTTCCTGAGCTGGTAATCAATCAATGCGTCCTATTCCTTCCGATTCAAGGAAGCATTTTCTACTGGTATCCGAGATATGTTAAGTAAACCTTCCAATTTCACCTGTTGGTGATTACTCATCAGTAAATTAAGGAGGTTCAATTGCTTGTTTAGCTTGCGAAATGTACCTCCAGTCAACCGTTCGTCAATAAATAGGACGTCTACCCTTTGGTCGGATTATTTAGACTGTCACCACACTTATCCCAGATTTTGACAGAGATACTGGAATCTTTGATTGTTTGCACATTAGGGGAGGTCAATATTCACAAAAACACTTGTCCGATACACCCATCCAGAGGGGCCACTTCTGTATCTGAAAGGATTTTCAGGTATAGATCTTGAAGAATAATGCGGGTGGTGGGATGATCTAATCCAGTCATATTTTGCCTCTCCGGATAAACGAGTCTCCATGTCAGTCTTGTTGAATGACTAGAAAGGGCAGTGTGTGATAAAGTTTTGTCGAAATAATTATAAAAACCCTTTCCGGAAATTCACTGGACTATAATTCCAATTTGTCATTGGATAATCAACGGACCTTTCGCGAGCGCCGAGTCGTTTTTCAGTGCGAAGGCCAGTGAAGAAGATATTCTCGTAGCGAATCTACGGAAGCTATCTGTCTGTATGATAGGACTTTGTTCTGTGATCACTCTATGCCGTTGATGAGACTGTTGATGTTCCTGGAATTCAAGGTAGTTATGCATCGTACTTCTGCTGCGCAGTTGTCATCCGAATGCTCTGCCTTCGTGCGTTTAAACTGGTGGTGTTGACTGTGGACGGCGGTTGTCCCAACCCGCATTTCCATCTGCACCCAGATATTAGCTATTGGGGCGAGAGATCTCCGTGTTTAGAGCGTGAATCTACTGACCTGAAGGTCTGTGATTCGAACCTGACCTCTGACTCTCAACTTCCCCTAATCCTAGGCAACTTGGCAGTGTCCCAGCCCTCGTGCTTCCTTCTGGTGGTATGGCAGTTAGGCACCGATAGGTTACTACAACTAAACGATTAGCGATTGGAGTTGCGTAAATCCCATCCTCCTCTGCACACGTACCGCTGCTTCAAGAATACGACCACAATAGACATTGAGTGCGAATTCTGTTACCCCGTGTGCATGTGGCTTTCATCTATCACCGCCTAAAATCTACGGCAACCTTTGTGAGGCATGGGCCACTGACACTGAGATACCGTGTGGCTTAGGCACCGAAACTACAACTAAACGATTAGCGATTGGAGTTGCGTAAATCCCATCCTCCTCTGCACACGTACCGCTGCTTCAAGAATACGACCACAATAGACATTGAGTGCGAATTCTGTTACCCCGTGTGCATGTGGCTTTCATCTATCACCGCCTAAAATCTACGGCAACCTTTGTGAGGCATGCGCCACTGACACTGAGATACCGTGTGGCTTCGTACGAAAGCCATTTTCGGGGCGGAATAGCGATCGGAATTCCAAATGTCGAAGCCGCAATGTGGTTGGTCGGTGAAAGATACCTGTAAAAGGAGCGAGTGCTAAACAATGACTCTGATAGGTCTAGTAGCAGTTATCACCAGTTTAACCTTTACGTTCTGTGTTACTGAATGGACTGTCACTCCATGCCACACTGTACTCTCTCTCTCTCTCTCTCTCTAGCGAAACCCAACCGACCACTGGTTTTGTTCACGCTGTTTTCCATTCTTGACTTCCAAAGTTACCTTCACGATACGATCCGTCTCCCACATCTGATAGACTTTTCGCCTTGCCTTGACTGTGCGTATGCATGATCTTTGCATGTATGATTACGTGTTGTTCAGCTACACGTGACCGATTAAGCGCACCGGATAGAATATGTTCATATGGTTACATAGACTGATCAGAGCGCTGACGCGTATAAGCTTGACCAAAATACTTCTTCAGGACGACTTTCCTAAGCGTTCAGGTTTGAGACGGTGGCTACTTTTTTCTAGGTAATTATTCTCTGGCCAAGAATGAAGCTGTCGCATGGCAGACAGCTACAGTGGAGTACATAACCGCACAACTAACTTGCCTAACTTGACTTTCTCCCGTCGCATACATTTTCTCAGGTGATTCGGCCGCAGATGCTTGTCGCCGCTCATGAAACGAATTTTTTGTAATGTTGACTGAAGTTGCACTATTTTCCGCCAACCTCATGAATGTATGTTGTGTTCATGCTGTGTTGAAGCTCCTGTTTGGTGAGCCTGTGCACCGACAGGCTTATCCTTACGTATGGTTCCTCAGTTGCTTGTTTGCGGCGTTTCTTACGTCTCCTTATCAAGAACGTTAACACCTTGAATGTCCTGTGTGTGTCATAGCATGAAATGAATTATGTGGAAGGCATTAATTTGAAAATGTAACGGTCATGTTGATAATAAGTGTGGCGTGTAGATTATTGACGGCGTCGTACGCTGTCGAAGCGAGTAGACTGTCAGCAACTGTGAAACTCAGCCACTTTGTAGGATGATTTGGCCGGCAGAGGTCACAAATACGCTTGGGGAGATTCTTCGTACAACACTGCCGTGGTAATTTTCAAGCCTGAACAAGGAATTTAAGTAGGCATAATTTGGAGATCAACAGTTCAACGAAGATTTCTTCCATACATACTTTGGGCTCACTAGTGAAACATATCTGACTAAACGTAACTTCCACACCCACATTCATCCTTGTGGAAACAGGAGTGGTTGTCTGTTCACAACAAACCACAAACTGTTAAAGAAATCAGGCGTTCCCAGCCTCATCACGCACTTTTTGGTAGAAAACATCGAGTGCTTTTCAAGCTCAAGACAACCACTTATGTTTCGCTGATGGATAAAGGGACTGTCGGAATGCGTTTTGAACGTGCTCCATTTGTCTTCAACATAATTTAAACTAAGGTACTTTTTTAAAACTATGTTTTGTTTGTCTGAGTTTTAATATGTACTGTCTGTTTCGCATATAAGGTGCTCTTTGACATTATTTTGCGAAATTCCATCGATTATCGGGAGAGACAGATCCGTGAGAATCAATCTGGGTTTTGCTCTAGTCGAGGATACATCGACTATGTCTTATCTTGGGACAAATTCTTGAATAATGCATCTCCTTCAAACTTTCTACGTTGGTTGTTTTTCTCGATCTGAAATCTGCTTTTGACACTCGCTTGTGAGAAATTTCGGGGGTGTCTGACCATGTCCATTTGAAATTTATATTCCTAATGAGGACATTGTGTGGGAACTCCTGTGGACGTGTACGGGTATACGGCGAACTCTCGTCTGTGTTCACCACGTCCATTGGTGTAAGACAAGGCTGCTCTCTTTCACCTTTCCTTTTCAGATGTTATTGATGTGCTGCTTCAAATTCCTCTCTGCCTCCGAAATCCTGGGAGTCGAAATGCTCCTGGGAAGTTCCCTCACAGACATCGAGTAAACCATGTGGCTACGGCATATGGTTTATTGCTGATAGATAGATGGATGGATAGATTAATTGGTTGATTGACTTATCATATGCTGTTGTTTCTCATAGTATGATCAGAACACCTCTGTCTTGTCTAACTGAGAGCCGACCACACTACTAGTCAGCCCTCGTGGCTAAACGGTTAAGTGTTAACCATTTGCCGGAAGTTCACAGTTTCGATAATCTCTGGGTTGCGTGGATTGCGTGCTATCGATGATTCTGAACAAAGATTAAACAACCGTACAGTACTTCCCAACCTTTTAGCAAAGATTGGCTTCATTGACGGGATGAAATCCCTATTGGACGTTACCGGATTTCCTCACTTCACCACCAACCTTCAAAAGTGTTTGTAATCTCAACTCCGTTATTTTGAATTGCAACGAATTTCGTGCTTTTCCAATTCTCCAACTTCCACACCCGTTTTGGACTAACGGAAATGCCGACAACTCACGGTGAACCAGATGCCAGAAACACAGGCCTCAATTTGGGTCATATTTGTGGTCCAAACACCGTTCGCTTTTGTCTCTGGATGTTGATGACGATGATGATTTTTCCATTCCGGCGCCATCCGACCATCTATCTGAAAACGGAAGGAACCTTCATGCGTCAGAAATTTATTTACAAAATGGAACATTTCTGTGTAGAATTTCCAGGACAACTGCCTCGTAACTTGACTGGATAAAAATAGACCATTCTCAGGATAGTTGAGAACAATGCGGTACCTTTCTATACTTCCAGGACTAAACCGCCCCATGATTTCGGTTAGATGTGAGAGTCGGCAAAACGATTGACTTGGTGTGAGACTCGGATGAAGCGCACTTACGAACCAAAGATAAACCTTCCTGTTGGGTGTTTTTCCATCAACAATTGGGGCATTGTAGGTTCTGGATGTTGGTTCAGTTCACTAGCTTGCACAGTGCAACACACTGTCATGATAACTGGCTTCTAACGCTTGATTTGCTGAGAGCCACCGGTGACTGATTAGCCTAAAGGTGGAGCGATTCAGGCAAGTGACCCAACGTAGTCAATGGATTCCTACTGCCACAGTTACAAGCTTCACTTCATCGTTTGACTCTCAACTGTCTACCCTCGACACTGTTGATAAGTAGATGGACCCTGGCATGCGGTTTATAGCGAATCAGTTTACTCAGAAAAGAAGCTGCCGGTTTGTACATTTTTGGGTGGCTGTTTGTAAATAAAATTGGGAATAAAATGAACTATCTAGTTGTACTGTCCGTGTATCGTTCCATTTAAAGCCTTACAACATACGTCTTTGTTCGATTCAGGTCGCGGTTATAGTCTACTGACGGCTGATAAACTTGAAGTGGTAAAGTGGCTCGAGAATGTCCCTGAGGCCGCATCGCTGTCCAGTGACGAGGCTGACCAAGACTGTCCGACAAAAGCACCCATAGCCGAACTGGAACCGTTGTCACTGAAAGTAGAAGACTCTCCTCATTCCTGGCCAGCCCACCGCACTTCCACCTCCCCCACATGTGGCCCATATGCCACGAGCCCTGTAGGTAGTGCACGGGTGAAAACCGTGGACGATCAACAGACTATTTATGAATCGGCCAGTCCAAAAGCTCGATCACGTCAAAATAATCGAGTTCGACTCATAAAGTCCAACGCGACTCCAGCAACAAGCAACGCAAAAAGCTTCTTGCGTCAGACCGAGCCGTGGGCTGCACCGACCTATGTTTCGCACCCCACATTACGGTACTGCCCCAATGACAACATGCCACATTACGACACACCACTTTCAGCGCCTGCTCCACCCATAACCGAGTCTAGGATTACAATTTCCTCCCCGGATGATCGCTATTATGTCCGAAGACCTGACTGCTCGCGGAAGATGAATCCAAACGTGCCAAACTCACGCTTCACTTCGGATGTGAATGACCGGTGTCGTTCATCCAGTGCCGATCAGCTGCAATCGATGACTCGAACGAGCAGACGGCATGAGAAAATAAAACGTAAGTTGTGCGTTACCGCCCTTTTTGTGGCGTTGTCCGTAGGCTGATTTCGTAAGTCTTCCGTCCCAACTCTTTCATAGTATCCATAAGGTAAAGCCGACTCATGTTGAATATTTCTTCAGAGCTCCTTTATTCTCGTTTCTATATTCACTCTCATTAATGTCTCACGAATTCTGAATAGGATTCAGACCTTTGACAAAGTAGTCGTATACTTCGACGTTCCCCCATGAACTCATTGTGTTATGCAGTTATCCTAGACTTTTCTATCTAGACCTCCTTTATCCCATGAGCACTTCTCAATGCGCTTTGTGTATGAACGTATTGAAGACCGGGATCAGCAGCCAATTGCAAGAAAACTGCATTGTTTTATTATTGTCTTCCCCGCCTAACTAGTGTCCTCTGCACTTTATCACTCTCAACCGCCTGGATCATGAGCACCTTTGGTTTACTACAGTTTCTGCGTTTCCAACAATGCACAGAAACTGGTTTGATAGGCGCTTTTGTTGCCGAATCGGGTAGTTTATGGGCAAACTTTTCGTCACCGATGAGGTTCGTTCATAAGGCTAGCGTTGCGTTGGAGTTGGGGTGGTGGAGAGGGCAGTGCTCGTTCTTGTGGAGGTAGCGGTGAACATATGTGATTATTAACATCACTTGTTGACCATATACTGTCCAGTAAGTGGTCGTGCATCTATATGCTCTGATACTAGTCAACTTGATACTTCTTGGTAGCGCGCACCACAATAAAAAATGAATGCAAGTAGCTCACAAATCCACTGCTACATTAAGAGAATCGATCCCGTCAGCGTGCTAACGTTGCACGAGGTGGTGCACCGACGGCATCGCCTCGCATGGTGATGGAACCTTGGCGAACCAGCTGCGAAGCTCCGTGAACAAGTTAACAACGAATTAAGGTGGACGGAAAATCGGTGGCAGATGCCCACTAGTGGAATAAAATGTTTATTGTAAGATGTCATAAATGAAACCATTACTCACTGTGAAAGTGGTGGACCTCCAAGCATGTTAGAAGAGGTGAAGAGTTTCAGTCATTACTTGACGTTGATGAGAAACAATCACTGCAAACCGGCTTTGCCGAAAACTGGGGAGTTGTATCTTTCCTGAGTACTTGTGCGCATCAAATAATTTAGCAGAGCGGATAAGCAGAATTCCACAAGTTGTTACACTCGATACACGCTATCATGTGATGATGAGAGAGTTGTTTTGTTAGCATAATGGATGGTTGCCTTGGGAAGAAGGCTGGCAAGCTTTTTGACATTCATACCCAAACAGCATCCCTACGCGTCTGCGTCAATACACGAGGGATCTGTCTCATGACATTTCTTGTGTTTCAGAACCGTTTCGGGAAAAAAACGTGACTCAGATGACAAATTTGAATTTTGGTCCTCGCTGTTCGAGACGTGCCTTGTTTTCAGTCTACCCGTCGCTCATTAGTTTTTTTCTTACTGCAAAGCTTGAATAGTCATTGTAGCTCGTCTTTGATAATCGAAATCGGCTCGTTTTTTTCCTTCTCATAATAACTTGGCAGAGACAAGCGGGTATTTGGGTGCACAGGTTTCTAGCGGGAAGGAATCCGGTCGTTTTTATTTTTGTCTGGAGACGGCAGCAAGTTTTTGATGCACAGTTAGTGCTGTGCACCATTCGCAGTGTGCTTTTATGCACTGTAATCCAGTGTCTTTGTTGCGTGAGCATACATGTAAGAAATTCGCTCGACATTTCCTCCCAGTATATCATCTTATAACGGAAGGGTTAATGTTTGGTTTCCGTCTTTTGTCGTCCTGGGTTTGAGAGGAATGTGGTTGGTAAATTACATTCCATGCTAACGAGCCTTCAAGCTTGGGCTGCTTTCAAACTGTTTCTCTTTTTTGTCGAACTATCTTACCGGCGATTTATCCTAATTGTAGTCGAGCGCTCTTCACCCGTTCTCGATTGATACCAGTGTTTTCTGGAAGGGGTGTTGCGGCTGGGCGCTTCCTGGTACAACCTGTCGTTGGTGTGCGTTACGGTGCTGCCTTGTGCTCAGACATACACCACAGGATGCTCAAGTTCTGGATGTATTCAACCAATCGTGTTGCTTCTAATTTTCGTTGGCCACGTTGTTGGTCTAAAAGTAGTAACGTGAGGGTTGGCATGATTTCACTCATGTGCTTTCTATTGTGGAGAACTAGTATCAGTTGAGTCAGGTAGCTGTCTTTGTTCCACACGTACTGCTCCAATGCGCTGATTGCACAGCCTGTTCTTTCGTGTTGTGTCAGTTGTTTGCTTGGATTTATACGATTATGTTTATATTGTTCTCCACCCGTTCGTAGTAATAGTTTGTCTTTCGGTGGAGAGTTTAATGTTGGTTTACAAACTGCCTCGCAATATTGGAGCAAGGCAAAATGGCGAAGCTTTTGAATAGACCAGTCCTGTCACTACCAGTCGGTCTACGATTCTAACTGCATCTGCGAAGCAGGAAGCTTGTATCTAATACGCTAGTCTGCACATCTCACCCTACTGACTCTTCGGATTTCTTCAGACGGTTTAGCTAATGGTCACTTGAACCTGTGGAATGCTGGCCCCATAAACTTTCGCAGTGCGCTAGACGCAGTTGGCGCCTTTATCTTCTCCATCATTCCATCTAATTGTGACTGTTATCCAGATGTTTGTGTGTCGGATCGACTTGGTTTCCCACTTCTTTCATTCCTTTGGTCGCCATGTCTGACGAAATAGTTTTTATTTGTCCGTTCCTTATCGAGAAGTTTAACCATTCGAATGTTTGTTTTTGCCTGTCTGGTTTTTTAATATTCTCATAAGCCTTTTGGTACAGCAACCATATAACAGCTTCCGCTGTAACAGTGCTTTCTGAGTGGTTGTCCGGGAACCGGTTTTCAGCTCTTCAAAAATATAAATGTTGTGATCATATTGCTGTGAACAGCATGTAGATCCAACACATATTATTCATTAAAAAAAGGCCAGTTCCCGATACTTCTCACTTTTCTACATTTCAGACTTCCTGCCACTATAGGTAAGCAGGATCTTCGTTGTAGGTTGAACAGGTCTGTTTTGGGATTTATGCATGGTATATGAAGCAGCTGAATAAGTTCTTACGTTTTCCTACGGTAATCGGAAACTTTGCCAACCGAATAAAAATATTCACTATCAAAGTGCCGATCACTTGCGCTAGCTGAATAACCTAGGACATGTATGTTTTAAGAAATGTATAACGAACCATCAATTGCGGATAGTGTTTCTTCGCCTCCCGCGCCTATCGCAACTCTGAAGCGAGCGGTGTGTCTTGTTCAGTCTTCACGAGGTCCTCCAGCCATCGTGTTATCTGATTTACAGATCCATGCTTTTTTTCAAGTCTTTATTTTTTCCAAATCAAGCTGAATAGTTTGTCAACTTCAAATGCGATGTCGCTACTTGCTGCTGTGACTCACCTTTGTGAAACCTTTACATCAGTTCTGGTCACCGATAATCAACTTGTTGGTGATTCACGGTAAACCACAGCTCTTCTCGAACTTCTGCTCTCTTGTCTGTGTTACGTATGGTTCAGCACATTTTGTCAAGACACGATGAATATTTCTTTTTGTTAAAGTAGTTAAAAGATCAGCGGTTCGACCATAGTCAGGCAAATAATGAATGATGTTTGACCCCAAGTTGATAATCAACGAATGGAGAACGACCCTAAGGCACCAGTTCATGCGTAGAACCATTCGCCCACTGCATTGCCCCACTGTTGCCAAACCTGTCTCCCGATCTTGTTCCGTGGTTGCGGAATTTTTATTTTATCTGTGACCAACTTTTCTTGCGCATCTAGTTGATTCGGATTTTCGTGATACACGCGCATTCATTCAGGTCAGTCTTTAGCCTCCCACGTTTTCCCGTCCGGTTATTCTGGGCCATCCCAATTCGTTCGAGTAGCCCGACCGCTAACATTTTCAGCAACTACTAGCGCTACTACGAGTTCTGTTTTCTTTTTACTATCTCTTCAAATTCAGATAACAAATGATGGAAGTGTACTGGGACAATCTGTTGTTTCTTTGTGTATCAATTTAATTGTCTTCCTAAACCGTTTTCTACATCACAGCATGTGGGACTATTTCGGCGAATTGACACCGTAAGTTTGCTTGCCCGCCTAGAGGTGCTTTCCCTATGGTAAATCTACTTACTAAATGTTGGCGTTGCTTTCCAAAAAGAATTACCCGACCTACACGCGCAATGGCTCTGGAAGAGCATTCATGAAGGTCTGTTCCTCTGAGAACTTGTTGAACCTGAACTATGGACTAGCCTTAATTGCTTTCCCACTCTTCGGTAGTTCTGAGTCTTCATTGCTTTTTAACTAACTAACATGTCGCCTCAATGGAGCGAGATGGCCTAATTGGTTAGAGCGCGAATTTACTGACCGGAAGGTCCGTGGTTCGAACACGACCTCTGCCTCTCGACTGTCTAGGCTTGGGCAACCTGACATTATCCCAGCCCTGGCGCAACCTTCGGGTGCCGTGGCAGTTAGGCACCGAAAGGGTGCTACAGCTGAACGATGTGTTGCATCAAATCCCATTTCGATGCTTGTTGTACCATCGAAACTTTTATCCCCGGAGCTGTACATGTCACCTTAATGAAAGTAGATTCGACGCCAGAATATGAACAGTGTGATTGAGGGAGATATCCTTTCCACTTTATAGGAACGAAACGTCTTAACACACCATACACTGAGACTTTGTCGAGAAAATAAAAATTGTTTGGGATGTGGCGCATGCATGAGCAGGTTTCCTTAGACGCTTCTAGGTCAGACTGAAGTTGAAAACCAATGTTTTCCAGTCACCATCACCATTCATAATAATAATAATAATAATAATAATTACTCCCAACTTGTGGGTGGCATGCCGTCTTGCATGATCATGCGTTTATAAAGGAGAACGATGGCCGATGTACTGCCTTAGACAGAAGCAGTCGAGATGGGCTCGAAACACGCACCTTCCGCCCAGTTAGTTCTCGCCTTAACCACCAAGTTATTTCGAGCAGTCGGATTTTTTGCCTCCACCATTTTGATAAAAATTTGGGGCAGTTTACACTACTGTGACGAAGTTAACTTCCATGCTTGCATACACATCAAGATGGCTCAGTGGTTAGGGCGCGAATTTACCGACTGGAAAGTCAGTGATTTGATCTCGAACTCTGCTTCTCCACTTCCCCAGTGTGGACAGAGCAACCTGGCAGTATCCCAGCCCTCGTGCTTCCTTCTGGTGGCATTGCAGTTAAGCGCCGAAAAGGTGCTACAGCTTAACGATTTTTTTTTACGTATCAAGTAGATACTTTTCCTTCCGGGAAGCCGGGCTTCTTGTTTCAACACATAACAAACCCTCAGACCTCCATCACTAGGATAAACGCAGCTGGCCTTTGGCTGTTCGTTAGTCGTTGAATTAAATTACTTGTCGTGTTTGCATGAATCGCCTTTAAATGGCTGCTACTTAGCTCTGTTTCGTTTTTATCTCTGACAAGATTTATTCACACAATCACATTACTTCTCAACACAGCTGTCACAACACAAAGTTTTTTTTTCAACTGCGATAAATTCTCAAACGACTATCTTCAGAATCACAAACTCCCCCTCCGGATTGCTTCCCCTAGCACTTCGTTTGATTTTAAATCGATAGGTTCCAGCTGTAATTCAGTTGCACTTAAAACTACTTTATCATACTTATCTGTCCTCTTTTTCATCAAATTTGCAAGCTGTCACTTGAGGGTATAGTTATTTTATTCATATGTATGAGGGAATATAAACACCCAATTTCTTATTGATTTATTCCGGAACTTCTGGGAATGATTGAGGCTTTCAGTCTATAGAATTTCAAATAAAACGATTGGCTTTGTACACATCGTAAACCAAATTGTTTTTCAAGGAAGCTCCAGCTTCAATGATCCAACTGCTTCGGCACATCTGTTGGTT